TACAAAGGTAATTTCCAAGTCAAGAATAACGCAAGATGGAGAAAAAGAAAAAACAAACCATATCTCCAAAATGTTCTCAATTGTAGTTGTGATTACAGCGACAATCAAATCCAATCTCTATATATTATGACACGCTCTTGCAGAGGAGCGCAAAACTTCATCAGCGACCCGTCCCAGTTTTCTCTCTATCCACTGGAATTTCCACGCCGGGCTCTCCTCTCTCTCTCTCTCTCTCTCTCTCCTTACATATATACATCCACACACTTATACACACGTCTCGCTCTATCGCAGATATAATAAACAGAGAGGAGGTGGAAGAGAGACATGTAGAAACTACTGTCCCCCTTTCTACACGCGTTCGTCTGACAAGGCCTTTTCTTGCAAGACCACCGATCTCTTTTTTTTTTTTTTTAAATCTGATTTTCGGGAGCATCGATAGATCATGTGGCGCAATTTTTCTCATCATTTCACACCTTGAAAATACCCGCTAATTGTTCGCGTGTTTATTTATCAGTACACTGCGTGTGATATAATCTCGGCTATGTGTGGAGAGGCAGCAACGATTATGTTTGAGCACGTCACACGATTCATCATTGAATAATCACCCGTTAACACACACATCGTGTGCGTTTAAATAAAACACGGCAATTAGTTTAATACGTGCACGTTTTATTCCGATTTAATTGGACGACATGGGTGGAAACGGTGTCTTTATCATCAACGTGCACATACATATAATACACACACTTAAGATAAAGTTTTTCGTGCGTGTTGTTTTTTTCCCCCTTGTGTTCGTGTTCCGTGCATGTATAATATGGGTGGGGCCATTGATAAGCAATGCATTCTCGTGTTAGCATGTGTGGGTGTTTGGTGTACCGATTGCCCTTTTTTTTGTTTCTCTTTTCGTCTAGTTGACAAAGCTCTGGGCGTGTGCTCGCGCGGTTGTCGTTTGGTCTGTTGCTGTTGTTATATAATTTAGAGAGGGAAAATAAATACGAAAGATATTCTTTTTTTTTGTTAAATTCACGCAAAGTTACTGTTCCAAGTGTGTTAATTGAATTTTCAAACATTGAAATACCAAAATAATAGTCCAATATTTCGGACAGTAAATTAAATTGGCACTCTACGGTCTTTTTTCGAATCCTTTTATTTTTTTAAGTATTATTAAATTTAGTAGATACAGTAATACTAAATACTATATGCTATTAATAAAAAATAAAGATGTAAATTTAAAAGCATTGCAATTGAATTTACAATAATGTAATACATTGTAATAAACACTTAATTTCAATTTTCATAAACTTATAATGCATGGTCAAATATTATTATTATGAAATAAAAAAAATCAAAATCTTTTGCCTTGTTGTACTGTCCAATAAAATTTAAATTTTTCAATAAATTGGATGATTACAAGCGCTTAGATTAGCACTGTTTTTATTTAAAGTATTCATTCATTTTATCCCTGATATCTTTTTTCGTGAATGCCAAAAAACTGTATGTATGTTGGTACAAGCTGTTATCATTAATATTAATTAATTATATAATTGCGGTGTACGAAAGAGGCTCTTTTATCTTACAATTAACATGTCGTTCACTAAAAGCAGTAAACAATTTTTTCAAAACTAAATAAAAGAGTACATGTGAATAAACCTTGAATTTTTCTTTTTCAATTTTTTCAGATCTAAACCATACGGAAGTGACTTCATCATCGGAGATGGGCCGCATCAATATCTGCAACCGAGGACTCGTGATCTTGGGATAAATAAAAATATCAAAGACAAACAAAAGCAATAAATTAAATATCGAAGAAAAAGAAAATGCGGGAGCGACCAGGTGTGGGATCCCATCATCATCGATAATTGACACGATGTCGACGATGGACCCACCCGATAGTTTTGTGCCTCGTATTTTTTGAAAAACTCTATTTTGTACACACATGGTTGGCGGTGATTGTTTGAGCGTCGCGAGAGTGCGCGTTTAAAGATTGGGAAAGAAAAGAGAAAAAAAAGAAAAAGAAAGTAACGATGTCGTTCCTGTCGAACCTGAAGAAAGCCTTCCACTTTGGCGGCAATGAGGCTAAAAAGAAGAAGCTCTACAACAACATCAAGATGGACGTCAATCCCGAGGAGTTTTGGGATATGATCGGAGAGCTGGGAGATGGCGCTTTCGGGAAGGTTTACAAGGTAATTTTATGAGATAATATGTAGCTAACTTTTTTTTTTACAATTGATTGGAGATTTGAACTCGGAACCCCTACCCTTTGAGACTAAATCAGATGATTTTTTAGCAAATTTATTTTTGGTATGCTGCATTAGTTAAAGTCACTAACTTGGGATGAAAAGTGTTATACTTTATTTAGTGGCAGCTCATGAAATAAAGTTGGCAGAATTGCGAAGGAATACTTGAACAATTTTTAAAAAATATTTGCTAAAAAAAAATTTTTTCGTCTAGTACGTAAAGCACAGTGCTTAAAGAAATTTTTTTTAACAAAAAATGCATTAAAAACTAAAAAAAAAAATAAATTAAAAAAAAAAACAGTCATAGTGTTTAAAAGAGTACACAAATATTAAATTCCAAATACTTTACAATAAACTTTAATATCTAAAATTTGTTGCTTTAATGTCACAGAAATAAAAAATTTTCTTACGATTACATTTGTGAACGGTTATAAATAAAAAATTTTTTCAGTAAAAAGTTCACTTTATTAATACATTGTAATAAACACTTAATTTCAATTTTCATAAACTTATAATGCATGGTCAAATATTATTATTATGAAATAAAAAAAATCAAAATCTTTTGCCTTGTTGTACTGTCCAATAAAATTTAAATTTTTCAATAAATTGGATGATTACAAGCGCTTAGATTAGCACTGTTTTTATTTAAAGTATTCATTCATTTTATCCCTGATATCTTTTTTCGTGAATGCCAAAAAACTGTATGTATGTTGGTACAAGCTGTTATCATTAATATTAATTAATTATATAATTGCGGTGTACGAAAGAGGCTCTTTTATCTTACAATTAACATGTCGTTCACTAAAAGCAGTAAACAATTTTTTCAAAACTAAATAAAAGAGTACATGTGAATAAACCTTGAATTTTTCTTTTTCAATTTTTTCAGATCTAAACCATACGGAAGTGACTTCATCATCGGAGATGGGCCGCATCAATATCTGCAACCGAGGACTCGTGATCTTGGGATAAATAAAAATATCAAAGACAAACAAAAGCAATAAATTAAATATCGAAGAAAAAGAAAATGCGGGAGCGACCAGGTGTGGGATCCCATCATCATCGATAATTGACACGATGTCGACGATGGACCCACCCGATAGTTTTGTGCCTCGTATTTTTTGAAAAACTCTATTTTGTACACACATGGTTGGCGGTGATTGTTTGAGCGTCGCGAGAGTGCGCGTTTAAAGATTGGGAAAGAAAAGAGAAAAAAAAGAAAAAGAAAGTAACGATGTCGTTCCTGTCGAACCTGAAGAAAGCCTTCCACTTTGGCGGCAATGAGGCTAAAAAGAAGAAGCTCTACAACAACATCAAGATGGACGTCAATCCCGAGGAGTTTTGGGATATGATCGGAGAGCTGGGAGATGGCGCTTTCGGGAAGGTTTACAAGGTAATTTTATGAGATAATATGTAGCTAACTTTTTTTTTTACAATTGATTGGAGATTTGAACTCGGAACCCCTACCCTTTGAGACTAAATCAGATGATTTTTTAGCAAATTTATTTTTGGTATGCTGCATTAGTTAAAGTCACTAACTTGGGATGAAAAGTGTTATACTTTATTTAGTGGCAGCTCATGAAATAAAGTTG